TGGATGCTGGTGCCATACACCCACCAAAATTTGACTTGGACTCAGCATGCCTTCAACGAGAAGATCGGGGAGGTGCAGCGTATCGCCCGAGAGGCATTCACGAGGTTGAAGGGGCGGTGGACTTGTTTACAGAAACGAACAGAAGTGAAACTACTGGATTTGCCCGTGGTTATTGGTGCTTGCTGCGTGCTGCACAACATCTGTGAGCGACGGAAGGAGGAGATGGAGTCGGGTCTCGAGTACGAACTGGTGGACGATGAAATGGTGCCCGAGAACAGCATACGGTCGGTGAGTGCGTCGCAAGCCAGGGACAACATTGCCCATAACTTGTTACACCATGGCCTTGCCGGCACAGCTTTCTTTTAGTCTCCTTACAGAATTAAATTTCTTTTGTTTGTCATCATTTGTCGAACAATGCAGAATAAATTGATTGGGTCTACTCGCTGGTAGGACTGTAAGGCAAAGTTGGTTGTCCTCAGTGGCTGTAAGCTTTAGCTACTTGATTAGGTTTGAACAGTCTGTTTGGAGAGGTAGCAAAAAGTGACCTGTTTTTGGGTTTTTATTGTCTTTTCGGTCATTTAGGTTCAAGCTGATAAATATACTTTGTTATCACGCATCAATGCTTAACGAGTTCTTCATTAACTTGTTTATGTTCAACTTGGGTTTTGGTGACCATTACAAGTTATTCGATTTAGCTTCTATATCAAAATTGTTGAGGAAAGAAATTTTGGATGTCTTGGTCAATCCGATGTAATCCAGACCTGTATGTATAGGGTTGTTCGAGGTACTTTTGAGGTGAAAATATAAAGCTCTCAGGGTGTCACCTATACAAAGATCGAGGTCAAGTGAAGTTTTCTGACTCGATTTATTCGACGCTCAAATTAGTAACTTGAGATATATGAGTGTGGACGACAGTTGTCAAAAAATATAAACCTCTCTCGTTATGCTGAAAATGAGTCTTTATACCTAATTGTAAATATGAGACAATCTCTAATCACCTCCAATAGCCTCCCTTTGACCTCTTGTTTATGTGGGCGATAAGGGGGACTGTCTATAACCACTTGTCTTGGACCCATGCCCATGTGGGCAGACGAGTGGAGGATGGCCTTTATCATCTCCTTCCATCCCAAACATCATGTGATGGTCACGTGTTGAATGAAGATTAGCTAATGGGTGTACTCCCTACATTTATACCCCCCAACGTGTGCTTTAGGACTCTCATGAGAGGGGTTCGAAGTGTGGCATTTGGTTCATTAAGCATGTCAAACTTATATCTATTTAATTTGTTGTCGACCTTGTGTCATGTCTAGTTCGTTTGACACACCTAATTTATCATACTCGAGCATTGTTGGTGGTGATCCATAATCAACTTGTTCCTCTATTGTCAAGGGACACACCTTGGTCAGATAGAAACCCAATCTCTCCCTCCCTATCTTTGGTAAAGGCGGGGGTCGAGCTTCTTGACCTCTATGCCTCGACATAAGGCAGGAGTCAAGTTTCCCAACCTCCAAGTCTCAACGAAGCAGGGGTCGGGTTTCACAATCTCTCTACCTCGACGAAGGAGAGTTACAAGAATTGGAGTTCAACCCATACTTCCTCAAATGAAGAACTACTGACAGAATGGCGACCAACACCCCGATAGCTTTGGCTCAACTATGAAAATGATGCTACACTAAGCATTACATCATAGTAGACTCGATCAACGTCTCTTGAGATGCACTTCAATTACACTGCTTGGATTTGAGGATCCATATGGGTTTAAGATCGATAATTGTGTTTAAAAAGTCACTCTATCTTGATTCGTCAAAACGAACATATAAATCAACAACAGAAGCAAACTGGGATATGATCTTTAATCTCCACTGAAGAATGCCTGAATACACACGAGAAGGGAGAAGGGAACAATACTATGAATACATATGGTCAAAAGGGAAAAATGCACGAGAAATTGCTGGTCTATGCCATCTGAAGCCTTCAGTAGACGCGCTAAAAATTGTTCTCGTCAACCGTCAGATGTAGATAATCTTGTACCGAAACAGGAAGGATGACGACGGTGATGGCACCCTCGACCAGGTAAAACATGAGAAACATGCCATTTAATCACATGACCTACATTAATCCATGTGCTAATAAAACACATCAGTTATTGACTAAATTGCCACTTGCTGCATTTGTTGGCACTACTACACTGCCGCTTGGGTCAGTGCGACCATAAATCCCCGGTTCTTCATCACTATTGGATGGAGCTCCATTCTGAGCACCACTGGCATCCGCTTGATTCTTCTCTTCTTGACTCTCCAAAGAATCTTTTAGCCCCTTCGAAAGTGGGATCACGAACAGCTGGCAGACACCATTGAACAAGTTTCTTTGTTCGCTGATCAGATTTGCTCCATTTGGGTAGCAGCGACCGAAGCAAGTGGCACAATACGGGTGAGCTACCTATAAACCCCACAAGCTAGTCATACTACATTATAACAATTATGAAAATAGGACGAAGAAGAATCAATTCAAACCTCATCTGACCTCAATGAAAGCTCGACACAGTGACAGGAAGAGGGTAGACTCGTTTCCTCGGAGCACTCACAGGGCATTGTATCTCAAGAGGGAGTCGGAAACTACCTGTAGTCCCTTCACAACCTCTTGAGCCAGAATGTTCTTCAAGCTCACAGGAGCACATGGTCGTAATTCATTCATAGCAGCAGAAACACCTACATATTAGGACATGATATCACATATCAGCTACAAGACTACAACAGCAAAAGCCAAGTGCTAAGTTGCAACTTCGTCTGGTCACTGACATATCCACCACTGATCTACATCTACAAGGCCCAGTTTTACGGTGCCAACTCAAACTCATGCATGTAGTACGGTGACCTCGTTCATACTCACCAGTATCTGCAAAACATGACTCGTGGTTAACAAGTGTCTGTACTTACCATTAACAAACACAG